TATATCTTAATTATTTAATATTTTATTTATAGTGTATTTTGAAAAAAAAATTGCAAGACAAGTTAATGCTTAAGCTAGCAGGCACGACATATAAGAAGAATTGTGATTACTGAAAGAACGCATTTATGAAAGATTCTTTTTAGTCTTATTCGAAGAGAGTTAAAGTTATATAATTGGAAACATAAATTTAAAGTTTAGTAATTAATACATAATTGGTGTGATAAAATTGAGATGATAAGTCCTCAAATGTCAGACCTCAAAAAAAGTAATGTATCCACACCAAACTCGTATTTTGAAGAAAGTTCGTAAATCCTCTCCCTGCATTTTTTGTTCCTCGTTTCTCTAACTCCTAGTCTACAAGATGACTACACTTAACTAGTCAAAGTTCATGACTTGTATAAATATTTATGATTGGACTTAAAGAACTACTGTTACATCTCGTTCTATGAAGTAGGTCACATGATAGTTAGCCAAGCAAAAATAAAATAGAAGACTACACAATGTCCACACTCCATTTCTCCTCACCCCCATGCTCTACTCAAAGTGAGTGGACAATTGAGCAAGATGATTTGGGCACCTTGCCATAGTGTTAGCACCTCATCTGAAGTGCTTTTCAGTCCATTTTTTAATTTTTAGACATATGACATAGAGTGGTTGCACTTCAACCTATGTAGATGGCACAAGCCTTTGACAACACGGATTGACACCTTTAAACTTGAGCAGTAGGATGTTAGGATGAGGATTTATGTTAAGTATCAAATGTACATCACTTATTCTCTTTTGGTAAACGCTTACACTTAGTATCTTCCAAGAGTAATGCCATTCTTGTAAGGAAACTTTGAGTATCCTTTTCATATACCTTGGTAATATTCTTCAATCCAACAATCATTATTCTTGTCCATTGTGTCTATCCACACTCAAATACTTTTTCCATTGTTTGACTCGAGCATTATAGTGCTCGTGATTGTCACATTCTGCCAAAGTTATAGTCACGAGAAGTCTAACATGGTGTTCTAAGTGTTCAAATAACACGAGAGGAGTTGAAATCTATTGATCATGAGGTCCTATTGAATTTCCAGGTCAACATACTTTATCCTATCTATTCATATGCAATCTCCTATGCCAAATATGTCATTTATACACATCCATATCGTGCACAAGAAATTTTTTGTCATAAAAACTTTGGATTTTATCATATACTTTCGAGATCATATGATATATCTAACTTCATTATGTACCAAACATTTTCAGTCCATATCTATCATGGTAATCCATCCATAACAAAAACTATAGAACAACTCAACTGAGAAATGAATAAACATCCATAACAATTTATTTCAATAAAATTCGAAGTTAGGTACTAAAAGACTAAATAACTAAAGACGAGACAAAATGAGAGATTAGGCATAAGTATATAGGATAATTGTTAGAGTTGTGACTCAAATAGGAGTCTTGAATTGCGTGTTATTGGTGTTAGAAAGGAGTCTAACTGCATTCAACAACAAGGAAACAAAATCCCGTTGAAATTAGATCTCCTAATTGTAATATATTTTCTTACCTTTTAGGACTCTTCTAGGATTCGAAACCTGACCTCTAAACACAAGGCTCTTTTGTCAGTTTTGTTTAAGCTTTATTGCCGTGTCTGTAAGTTATCTCCATATTATCAGTTTATAATATATTGTTCATCTGCGATAAATTCTCTTCGTTTATTTTTTTACTTTTAATCTTGTTTCTTGTTATGATTTTTATTACTTCATATCGTCATTAAATCTCATTCTTTACAACCCTTTGAGATCAAAAAGTGGTATCAGAGCCATATTCTTCTTCTGTGGATTGGTTGAGGTTTTTTCAAATACAACTACCATGAGATATGACATTTCGCTACTGATTCGTAATACAAGGTTTTCTTTGTAGCAAGTAAATATGAGGGCTATTCTGGTGCAGTTGGATTTGGACAATGTGCTGCTAGGTTTTGAAAAGATGTCAACTCATTGGATAACGGAAGAGAAACAACGGAAGGATCAAAAGGCTTTATTGTAGATCCATCTTCATTTATCCAACAATATTTTGTAGGATGCCTTGAAGAAAAAAACAATGGCTGCCTTGTGGTTGAAATTGGAGCAGTTATACATGACTAAAAGTCTCGTGAGTAAACTGGAGATCCTGTTGTGTTTGCTGTCTGGCTCTTATGCGTCGTTCCGGGACACCATTTTGTATAGTCGGGATACTTTAACTATAGACGACATCTATGATACTTTGCACTCAAAGGAGAAGTTGAAGCATTTGGTTAGAGCTATATCGAGAGATGAGGAAGCTCTTGTATCTTATGGTTGTCGACGGAGGGGCGGATCGAAGAATAACAACAATTTGTTTTGCTTCCACTGCAAACATAAAGGACATATTCGGAAGGATTGCGATAAGTTGCATGCTAAATGTGATTTAGCTTCAAATTGTGAAACACAACCTTTGACTTCAGACGAAACAAATGTAGTTGAGAATTTTTCAGACGGCAGAGATGTGATGTCGACCGTGGTATCTGACGTGGAATCTAGACCTGATGAGGAGTGGATTTTTGATTGGGCATGTTCTCTTCATATGTATTCCAATTGGAATTTCTTTCAGACATACGAGGTTGTTCAGTAAGGTGGAGTTATAATGGGAAACAACCAGTCTTGCCGTATTGTTGGGATCGGTCAAGTCAAATTTAGGCTACTGGATAGGATAGTCAGAACAATTGATCAGATTCAACATGTTCTAGACCTGAAAAGGAATCTCATCTCGCTTAGTACTCTGGATGCAAAATAGTAGAAATTCTCTGATGGAGGTAGAGTTTTAAAGGTTCGAAAGGGTGTCCGGGTTGTACTAGAGGGACGGAGAATGTCTAGTTGTACATCTTGTATGGGAGCGCAAAATTAGTTAAGAGACGTATGGACAAGTTCAGTACCGTGGTGGATATTCAGTTTGGTACAGTACCTCTTGTGATGGGCTCTGGGTCAATTCAGAACATTGCTCAAGGAAGCGTTGGTAATTTCGTTTTGCCACCAATTTTAGCGGTTGCACTGTGTTTAGTTGCTATGGTTGGATTCATTGAGTGTTGGTACCGTGGTGTCAGTGATATCTGTAATGCTTTAGGGGACGTTAAAAGCGACAATTCTAGCAAGGGGTTTTCTGTTCAGGCATTTTGTATGGTTTCTACTACAGGATGTGCTTTGATCCTGTTTGTTAAACATTAATTCCTTGGTGAAATTTTGCGAACTCGAGAGTAGGGTTCAAGTGTCATTTGTGGACACTGTATAGATAATGATGGTTTATATGAAGAGTTTTGGCTACTGTATTGAGGAGATGTGCCATTTCATTTCAATGCAAACGAGTTTATTTCTCAGGTGGAGAAATTTTGTGGAGCTTTGCTCGTTGCACCGAAATTTGAGTCAAGGTGAAGATTGTTAGAGTTGACTCAAATAGGAGGTCTTGAATAGCGTGTTATTGCTGTTGGAAAAGAAGTCTAACTGCATTCAACAACAAGGAAATAAAATCTCGTTGAAATTGGGTCTCCTAATTGTAATATATTTTCTTGCCTTTTATGACTTTTCTAGAATTTGAAATGTGGCTTATAAACAATGCTTTGAAAATCGAATCAGTTATCGATCCGAAAAAGGTGAAGGGTCAAGGATCAAAAGGTTCAATCAAGGTCAAATCAGGATCGAATTGGATGCAATAAATACATACAAAAATCATAAAATACTATGAAAAAATATTTCTTTTTTAATTTTCATAGTAATAATTTGTTAATTAGATTCATTATTCTATAATTTGTTAATATTCTTGTTATGTCACTATCCCACATTAGAAGTTTATGAAATCGTCGGATAAAAGTGCATCTATAAAATGCATTATCCCACATCAAAAGTTTATGAAACCATTTGAGATAGGTGTATCTCTAAAATGAGCATATCATCTAATATTTTTCCATGGGCCTTTGAATTAATGTTTATAAGGCTCATTCATGAAGATAATTTTTTTTAAACTAAAGAAAAAAAAGACTGGGGGAACCCAAATGCTCACTGAATTTTGCAAAAAGTTTTCAAAGGACCACTAAACTTTACAAAATGTTTTTATGTGGTCATCGAACTTTAAAAATAACTACATTCATCACTAAACTTTAAAAACGTTTATATGGGATCACTCAACTTTGCAAAATGTTTTTCAAGGGTCACTAAATCTAGTGATCCCTGGAAAACCTTTTGCAAAGTTGAATGATTAATGGGATTATTTTTAAAATTCAGTAACCCCGTGAAAACTTTTTGCAAAGTTAGTGATGACTGGGATGATTTTTAAAGTTCAGTGACCCTATGAAAATCTTTTGCAAAATTCAATAACCATTTGGATTATTATCTCCTAAAAACTGCGATCAGTTCACCGATTTACGGTTAAACTAGTTGGTTTGATGGTTTTTAAGCCGTTTAGTTATAAGCGGTTAGCAAAGCATGATTGGCCCCGTGTTGGGTCCATTCCTGGTTTTACCGGTTGAACCGGTTGGGTCGGGCCAGTTTTGATAATATTGCCTATAAAAATAAGGTTTTTCTGTCAGCTTTGTTTAAGTATTATTGTTGTGTTTGTAATTTTTCTCCATATTGTCAGTTTATAATATATCGTTCTTCTGCGATAAATTTTCTTTGTTTATTTTTTTACTTCTAATCTTGTTTCTTGTTGGAATCTTTATTACTTTGTATCACAATTAAATCTCATTTTTACCACCTTTTGGGATAACAATAGTAACATAAATGAAATGTGACAGAATTTATTAGGGGTTCATTTTGGTCTAACTTATTAAATACATCCTTACTTAAAATTAAATGTTGTGGATATTGGGAATTCTCTTTACTTTCTTGGAAATTACTCAAAATATTTATACCAAAAAATAGAAAAAATAAAAAATAAAGGTGGTAGGTGACCGTGAAGTGGAACTCTTGATTGATAAATAGTTAAATACTCCGCTATTCCCATCATTTCGTTCCCAATTCCCTTTCTTTATTCTGGTCGTCCATCATACACACATCATCATCACCAGCACCACCTCCAGCTGCCGCTGCAACACGCCACCATGCCATCAGTTTCCGGCAAATTCGTCTGCGTCACCGGTGCCGGAGGCTTCATCGCTTCATGGCTCGTTAAACTCCTCCTCGAAAAGGGCTACACCGTTAGAGGCACTGTCCGAAATCCAGGTGAAAATTCTCCCATTTGGTGGACAATACTCAGACAATATTAAGGAAAAAATAAAAACCTTCAACTTTTAGTCCGTTAGTGTGTACAATACTGTAGTTTTTTGTATGTATATGAATTGTTTGTACGTGTGGGATGGTGGCAGATGATCCCAAGAATTTCCATTTGAGAGAACTTGAAGGAGCAAATGAAAGATTGATTCTATGCAAAGCTGATCTCAATGATTACCAGAGTTTGGTAGAAGCCATCAACGGCTGTGATGGAGTTTTCCACACAGCGTCACCTGTCACAGATGATCCTGTAAGTTTTACTTTCTGAAGTAATTTCACCGACACTTCATTTCAATAATTAGAAAATTAAGGAAGATAGAGATTTATTAAAATTTGATGAAATTTTCTATCAATTTAACTTAATATTTTAAGAAAATGTTAGACTAATCTTATTACATTATTTCTTACTCAAAAAATGTACCTCTTTGAATAACCAATATTTATTTATTTTGACTGTAAGATATTTTTATCATTTGGTCCTGTGTAGTTCATGGTGATTATTTATTACTCATTTCATTTATATAGGTCAACTTTTCTTATTTTCTTGTCCTAATTATATAGTCATGAAAATGTTTTATTTTGTTTGTTTACTTATATACCTTTATTTAATTTGTATAGTTATAGTCAATTTTCTTTACTTAATCTTGAAATTGTACAAATATAAATAAGGGTAAATTAGGAAAGTTTTTGGCAAAATTTGTTTTTCCAATGACGTTGAATAAGATTTCTTAATCCATACGAAAAACAAAATCAGCCTATACAAATGGAATGGAGGAAGGATCGACTAGTCTTTCATCTTGCAGATAACGATCCACTTACTTCAGCGCCTTCCTATTACTTTGTCACCTACTTGAATTTCACGTTCCTAGCAACCTTCCATCTTTTTGGGACCCTTAGCAAAATTTAAATATTCCTACAAAATTGTTCTTACATTATTGTCACGTGGCAAAAATTAGATCGTGATGTTGCGTCTTAGATGATGTCAAAATTGCATTAGGAACAAATGGTGGTGCCGGCTGTGAATGGCGCCAAAAATGTGATAACTGCAGCGGCGAATGCCAAGGTCCGGCGAGTTGTTTTGACTTCATCAATTGGTGCTATTTACATGGATCCTAATAGAGACCCTGAAAAAGTTGTGGATGAGACATGTTGGAGTGATCTTGAATTTTGCAAGAATACTAAGGTTTGCATAAATATAATATTATGCCAATGTTTATTTATTGCGAGAAAAATCGATATGCTCATCCAAAATTTAATATTCATTTTTTGAATATTTTAGGTTTTTAATTAAAGTGATTCAATATAGTACGTCTCTTAGAGCATATAGTGATTTTGGGTTAATTAATTATAGCTTAGAAGGTTGATTTGGTCCATACGATTTTTGGGTGCTTGTATAAAACTTACGCTTCACGATTAATAATTAAAAATGATGGTATTTGGTCATTTTCATTTAAGATTTTACGTCGTTGTCAAGTTTGGTGCAAACATGAAAAATATATATTTATGGTTGGTGGCTTATGGTATGGTCATAGGTTTCATTTTATTCTTTGAAACTTCGTAGGATTTAATGCATTTTCTTAAAAAAATATTATTAATTTGACTTATATCTTTCCTCATTAGTTACTTGGACCTGCAATTAAAATATGTTATAATTTGTTGTAATCAATGTTTTATACATTAGAATGGTCCGCAATGAACATCATTTAAAAAAAAAAAAAAAAAAAAGTTAAGATCTTATGTATTAAACGATAAAATATTGACTCGCACTATATGTCGATAGTCGTCGATTAAATAATGTGAGTATGTTAGATTACATTGCAATCATTAGAATTACAAAAAAAAAATGTTGAATCTTAGTTATTGTGTTGTACGGTATTGTCTGATATTATGTATCAATTGTTGAAGACTAACTCTATTTTGACTTGACATTGTAGAATTGGTATTGCTATGGGAAAGTTGTGTCTGAACAAGCAGCATGTGATTTGGCCAAGGAATTGGGTTTGGATTTGGTAGTGATCAACCCAGTTTTGGTGCTCGGACCACTGCTTCAACCCTCTTTGAATGCCAGTGTTCTTCACATAATGAAGTATCTGACTGGATCAGCAAAAACTTATGCCAACTCTATACAAGCCTATGTGCATGTTAAGGATGTGGCATTGGCTCATATTTTGCTCTTCGAGACCCCGTCAGCTTCTGGTCGTTATCTCTGTGCCGAGAGTGTTCTTCATCGTGGTGAGGTGGTCGAGATTCTGACGAAGTTTTTTCCAGAGTATCCGATCCCTACCAAGTAAGTTTGGCAATCATTATACAACATGTTTGGCCAAGTGCATCCTTGTCCACGCTTAAAACAAGAAAAGTTACTTATTTTATAAAATAAATTGGTGAGTGCAAAATTAATTGTAAATGATTTGACAGTTTTCTCTGTGAATGCAGGTGCTCAGATGAAATAAACCCAAGAAAAAAGCCTTACAAATTCTCAAACCAAAGGCTTAAGGATTTGGGCCTGGACTTCAAACCAGTTAAGCAGGCTTTATATGACACTGTTAAAAGCCTGCAAGAAAAAGGCCATCTTCAAGTCTCGCCCAAAAATGATGGGCCCATTACCATTCAGTCTTAGACTTTTGGGCCTTAGCCCAGCCCATCATTATGAACCCCCAAGTTAATGAGGGACCACTAGTGTGTTAATATTAATGTTTTCTTTTTCTTTTTAATATTGAGGAAACTTACATCAGTGACATTTAAAAATAAATATTTAAAATTTTATAAATCAATTATATATTTTCCATTTGTACTGTCATATAATAGTAAAACTAAAAATCTTCAAATCACTTAACTCCATGTTATCATTCAACTAATTAACTGTGTTTTATTCGATCAGCAATTAAATGTCAATGAATTAGAATTAAACTACTTTACCCGAATTTTTTTGACATGATAGTTGACATCCTTGCATATGCGCGTGGGTTTTGCGTGAATAAAAAAGTCCAAAAAAAAAAGTGGGTTCCTTTCCATTGTGAGTGTCGATCAGCCATTATGTTAAAAAAATTCGGGCAGCATAGCATGATTGAATGAATTATATCAAATCCCAAATTTATCTACAAATTATTGTGTATCAATTCATTCCCAAATCAAAACTGACTTCATTCATTCCTCATCCCTTCCTTGTTCATCCACTGCCAAATCGTGATCTATCGTTCTTATGCCAAATCGTGATCTATCGTTCTTAATCAAAACCTTAATTAGTTCTCTCTTTGAATCCGGACACGAGTCCCTACGTGGAGTGCTTTGGACGGGTTGAATTATATGAGAACAGAAGGGCCTTTTTAAGGAGGAAGTTATTGAGAATGAAGTATACATCATTTTTTCTTCTATAATGAAAATTGAGAATTCTAGTGACGTTTTCGTCTTCCTTAATTTTTTTTTTCTTATTTGTTGGGTTTTGATATCTAGTAAATTCGGACGATAACGTTAAAATGATGTTGGATAAATTATATCGACGCCTTAGTCAAGTTATTCTACAAGAGATGAAAGGCAAAGCTCTAGACATTCTTTTATGGATGGGACTTCTATACCCACGCTATTGGATGCAACAGATTTCAATCTGGACCATTATCTAACGGTGCTAATCAACCGTTCATAAACCAGGTGATATGCATCCAAAGCCCATATGGAGCGGTGATTCTCAAATGCATGTGATACACGTTTCCTCGAGTCCTGAACAATCGAATGGTATGATGAGCCATTAATACTTATCAAAAACGTACCTTGGAAGCAAGCGATGGCCCCAGCTAATCGCCTTGAGAAAACGAGAGTGCTTTCAAATCATTGGCATGCAAATTTAAAATGTCTGATCACCAGAGCCTCATCTTTCAGCAAAGGCTTCGTCTCTACCACTTCAGCTTTCTCAAAGTTGCAATCGCTCAGTGTCTCGTCTTCTAGCAAGGACTTCGTCTCTGCTACTAGAACTTTTCTTTAAGTTGCAATCTCTCTTTTTAGATAGCCACATACATACACACCAATAAACAACAACAAAATCTCATGCATTATATAAATATCCGTACGTGGACTTGAGGGACAGAGATTCAAAATACACAACCAATCAATGAAAGGTAAAATATTCTAAGCCAATGTATCACCTTGACTTAGGGCAATTCACCTCCAACCCTACAACAAAAGCCCATGCATTATATAAATATTCATACGTGGACTTTGAAGGACTATTATTATGCTTTTCATAATGAGACTCCAAATCATCTACCACATGCGGAAACAAGGGTTGCACTCCACATCACTACACCGAAGTCTGAACCGACGAAGAGAAAGAGAAATGTTAGTGATCACACAAGTCCAAAGTGACGAAGTGATTTGCTTGATGACAAAGTGGCACAAGCGCTACGGCATTTACTGCCATAAGCCATGACGCTTCATCCCAACGTGCTAGGAGATCTTTTACACAAAGATCTACCCAAGATCAAATCCTTATTGACTGATTGATGGGACGCTTGTGTAGAAGGCACCAAAGTGTCAAGTTGAACATTACTGTGTTAGGAGGTATTATATGCATGTTATTAACCTATGAAATGATCGATTGATGTCTATAAAAGGACACCTCGGCTAGGAGATGAGGTCGTGTGCCTCACATTTGATAGTTCTTTCTTCACCTCTTCTACTATTTGACCGTTGGAGACCTAGCGATTGCTTCCACTACCACTGAAAAAGGCCACGAGTGACTAACGATGTGTTACAAGCGCCCAGGGAGGAGCCTACTTGGAGCTGCTTTTCTATTGGCCACGTGTCCGGTCCATTTTTCTGGGATCAACAATATGTATTATATTACCAGATTTTTTGCAGCACATGGGTTAATTCCTTGGTTCAAATAGAGAAATATGAACACGGATTGATCAAGGTAAGAGATTGTGATCTTACAACGGATTACAAATATTGCAGTTAGGACTGCAATCCACCAAGTCTGTGAATTTCCTGAATTAACGAGCTCACAAATAGATGTGATCACAATGTTTGATTCCCATTCCAAAATACAAACACATTCAGGAAATCTATGCAATGTTCTTCTTGCACTTTTTTCATTATTATTATTATTATTATTATTATTATTATTATTATTATTATTATTTTATTTTATTTTTTTAAATTAGCTGATGTTGAGAGGATGAAACGATTAGCATGAATCCAAATTTTTTTTTACTTTTCTATTGAGTTTCATTTCGATGTTGAAAATTCAGTTTTAAGATGGGACAAATAGTACAGGATCATAAAAAAAATGTCAAAAAGGCTAAATCAATTATTCGACAAATATACATTATCAAAAAGTTCTTCGGCCCTACTTATTTAACACGCTAAATAGCTATTTCAATCATGATCAGAAGTACTTCGACCATACTTATTTAACACGCTAAACAGCTTTTCAATAATTAATGATAAAGAGTGATTAAGTCGAATGACCTGCATAACATATTGTCCAGCATATGTCCCGGTTATGGTAGAACTCTGACCTGATGCCAGTAAAGCAATTGCAAAAAGCTTGGAACTCCATTTGCCAAGAACATTCTTCAATGATAAATAGAATAGTTATTGCTTTGAAACATTGAAATTACAACCCTAAAAGATAGTTCACCACGACATTACAAGAAATAATAGTTACATACTTTAAGTAAAAAAGAAGCTTTGTTCAAATCCAAGTCTTTGCATTTCTGTTCATCATCAGGGTTCAAACTGGATGAATTGCAAATGGCACCACTAACTGAGATAACCGATACATTGATGAGAAACGCCACTGTCAATGCAAATCCACTTTCTATCAAATAAAATCTGCTTGCCTCCTGTAAACAAGTGATATCATGAAATGCTGCATTGTGTTAAACACAATCTAGTCTTGATTCAAAAGGCAAGAAGTATAAGAAGTAAAGTTGCACAGAATTTTCGACTCAACCAAGTCTCATTTAATTCCATTAATACATAGCCCGAACTGGTTGCCTATTGTCAACATGAAAAATATAAAGCAAAGCTGGAGCAAATTCCAAGCAAATACGAGAAATATGTGTCTTGTTTTCTTTTTCCATTTACCAAAAACCATATGGTTTGGAATAAAGTACCTTCCTTTTCTTTCAGTAACGTATGTTAAGCAAATACGAGAAATATGTGTCTTGTTTTCTTTTTCCATTTACCAAAAACCATATGATTTGGCATAAAGTACCTTCCTTTTCTTTCAGTAACGTATGTTAAGCAAATACGAGAAATATGTGTCTTGTTTTCTTTTTCCATTTACCAAAAACCATATGATTTGGCATAAAGTACCTTCCTTTTCTTTCAGTAACGTATGTTAAGCTGGGATACTCACAATGGCAAATCCATGAACGAATTACAGACATATCCCATGTTCAATATTGATAAATTTTCAATATGTTAGCTGATGCTATTAATTTTTCAAAATAAGAAGACTTTCATAACTTGAGTTTCAGATAAAATAGTAGAAAGTACAATTGCAGTCCTTCAGATAGAAATATTACTTTGATACCATTAAAAGATCGCGGGATTTTCCTAGAGAGTACCAGAGCTGAATGGAGGAAAAGATTATGCCTGCACCGAGTATAGTTAATTATCAAAATCACAAATCATGGAATAGCCCTGTCAAATGTCAATTGATAGAATATGATGAAAAACATACGGCATAACCATAGCACCAAGAAGTGAAATAGCTAGCTTAGTGGCTCCACTTCCCTTAAGTTGGGGAACAAAAAGACCATCTAAAACTTCCAAAGACTTGGGCTTTGCATATCCAAGCTCCACAAAGAAGCAGGCAGCAATTGTGAAGACAAGGAAAGCGATAAAGATCTCAAGTTTTCTCACCTATAAAATATTTGCAACTAGTTTTGATTAGGACTTGAGTATTTGCAAAAGTCATTTGTCATATATTGTTGCTCTAGTTGCAATGCTGAACATGGTCAAAATTCAATTCCATTTAGTTGTTAAATTGGTAGTGCTGGTAAATACCCCATATTGCTGTAGTAATAATAGAACCAATGTACTGAGCCCTGTGATAAGCACACCACACCATAAAGGTATCTTGAAGAGCATGTTCAGAGCAAAAGCTGTTCCGATCACTGAAATAAAAAGCAGCAGAGTTGGAAGTGAGAAATATGAGAAGTAGACGAAAGATCAATACGATGCGAAAGTAAGATAATTTTTTATATAAACATGCCTTTATTCACAAATCAGAACATGCCTGCTGTGGCTGAAATACAAAATAATCACTATATTTCTAGCATTTAATGTTGTCTTATAGGCAACATCACCTTCACTAACATAGACCAGCTGCAGCCAAAAGAAAACTAACAAACCATACAAATATTGGCAACAGGAGAAACAACCTCAGAAGGAAAAACAAAGGTCACCTTCTGATGTAAAATCACAGAACGAGAATAACTTCTGATGTAATACCATTTGCACTAATTTCCCTACAAATAACTTTGGTTCACGTGCTTTAAAAGTTAGGGATAAGAGCACCCTTTTCTTAAAACGCGAAACCTGATCTTATATATGAGAATACGCATTCTGAACATAAAACTGATCTAGCCAATCTTTTACGTAGTATTGTGGAATAAAATTGACTAAAAGTGACAAAGAAACTTAAATAAAAAATGACATAAACTGTATACATGCAAATATTAATTCCAAGGTAATTTTTAAGATGAATGAGCCAGAAATCTGAGGTCTAACCTTCGGGAATGTCACATGCAACTATAGCTATTTCAGCAAGAATCCACAAGATAAAATTTGGAACCTTTGGATACTCCTTGCGACAGTGTTCAGCTAAATGCTTTCCTGCAAAAAATAATAATAATAAATAAATAAATAAATAAAATGTGAATAAAAAATGCAACTTGAGTACTGTGAATATTCAATGTTATGCAGAGAGAGATAAATTATTGAAGATATGTCAAACCTGTAACGACTCCTAGATTTGCTGCCAACATTTGGATAATAAGTGCAGCAAATGAAGCTAACAATATGATCCAGAGTAACTGTGAAACAAAGAAAATTTACTATAGATCAGCAGATGTTTAAATATACTTCAGAAATTAAAAGATACTTTTTACAAACAGAGATCGCATTTGGTGCTACCAGGAATATGCTGTATCTATTATATATGAAATCCACCATGAAATATCAACATCAATGCCTAAGTTATGTGAATTGCAAGAGCTAAAAGACTATTTCCCACTTGTGATCATTGTATGTACTACAAACAAAATACTAAATTGGTCAAAAGCCAAAGTAAATATAGTTATATGTAGATACATTCAACTTGCAAAAAAATGAGTTACAATATTAGACAGCCTATTTCATTCCTCTGGACTCGAAATTTCTAAAAGAATATGGTAGTTCGTCTTCAGTTATCTAAGACCATACATTGCCACATAATATTTTAAGTAATAATGACCTTTAGATAGACTTTGAAATGAGATATAAGATTGGACCACGAACTGAAAAAGATAATGACAATAAAGAATCATACTCACCCCATATTTGTATTGAGCTCCTGCCTGTAAATCGGTTTGAACTGAAAATGCAGGGCAACAATGTTATAAACCACAGGAAAAGATTCGGTTTAAACTAAAAATAATTAACATCGCCTTACAATTCCCAGGATCAATATACGCAATAGAAACAAGAAAGCCAGGACCCAAATATGCAAAAAAATTCTTCCAGCTTTTTTTCTGCCAAAACAAGTTGAAAAAAATTAATAATTCCATCAATCAAGTGATTTCTGCCATAATTTGGTGCCCATTCAAGGTAAAGAACAGGAACGACATCAAGTTGACAGCTTCATAACAGTTAGCCAGTTAAACACAGAGGCTAATCAAATTTGTGAACTTTATGAGTAGCATCACAAGACATTTTCCTCAACATTTACATTCAGAATCTGTAGATTCACTCCAAAGATGATGCATGTGTATAGAACAAATGACTCCAAAAAAGGAACGCGTCTTTAGGATTAGTCTGTTAGACAAGTCACAAATAGTCATCTGTCTAGTGACACTGAATTTCTGTAATTAGTGGCAAAGACAGATATAAGCATGACTCTCCAAATATCAAAAACCTCCCAACAATTAACCATCAGAATATAATTTGAGAAAAAACAATGATGTAGTGAATCAAAGCCCGCTTGAGGCAACCACTACAATAAAAGAACAATAATTTAGGGGATTAAGGCCGCTGTGGTAGGAGTATCATGGACACATCTAGATGTGATAAAGAAAATGGAGACGTTGAAGTTGGAGCTAGTTTTTGTGCTTTCTCAGCAAATTTCCATGTTTGTTGCCAGCTGACAAATGTCAAGATTCAAACAATATCTCGCTACAAAAAGTAATGAAGAGAAAAATTCCAAGAATTTGACACACAATAAAATTTGAAAAAAAAACTGCCATCAAACATGATGAAGGGGTAAATTACAAAATAATTAAGAGTTCTTGATATCTAAAAAGTTTAAAGACACTGATATACCATTCTTGGTTCTACTCGAAAATCCATACAATAAATTGCAAAACATGCTTAATCAATTATGATATTATCAAGAACCACATGCCTCAAAAAATTAGTAATCGTCTTAAAATTTCCAGTCCACTGAGAAAAAAAATTCTGAAGAAAGAAAATTCTCACATCAGGAACGACAATCTGATCATATTCAATATTCTCAATGAGTGGTTCAGTGGGGCGATTGTTTCCTCCAGTACCAGTCATAAACTGTGGCTGTGCAGTTCCCGGTGCCGCCGCCATTTTCCTTCAACCCTCTATTCCAAAAAGCAGAGGAAATGCATCAATTCAATGGACTAAAACTTTTGTAACCCAATGAATAAAAAATTAACATTCCCAAATCCCAACTTGGATCAAACATTAAACATGCAATTGAAATTAGAACTTTATAAAACATCAGTATCATATATTGCATGTTATACAAGTGTATCATCAACATTTATACGATTGTGTATAAGAAAAACACGCCCAAAAAAAAAGAAAAAAAGAAAAAAAAAAAAAGACAGAGAAGCTGAGATTCAAACCCATATATAGGTCTGTGAAAAGTTATAAAAATGAGGGCTTGGTGGTGAAGGATGTGGAGTGCTTACAAGTTGTTCTGTAGAAAAGGGAGGTGTCGAAGAATATATATAGAGGTATGTTACGTAGAGAGAATAAGAAAGGGGCCAAATTTTTTGGGCTGTTTGTAACTGTTGAGATACTCCTCTCTATATCTGCGTGTGTCCGTCGTATTGCCCCTCATTCGTAATCATGTGCTCCGAGACTTTGTACTCGTTAGGCATAATAATTTTTAAAAAAAAAAAATAATTTTTGTGATAAATTTTATGAAAATATATCTTATAGAAAATTGGTCGAATATAACTTTTTTAGAAAATACTTTTGAAATAAAAAGGCTTTTAAAATTAATTTTCAAAGAAAAATTAATGACTTCCTCGTAAAACTCTTATAGCCCTTGTTTGAATCTCATTCTTTTCGTAAGAATGAATTTTTGAATAATATATTGATAAAAAATGTGTGGTTAAAAATTAAAAAAAGTTTTGAGTTTGCATGTAATATTATTTCACTGAAAAATATGTAAATGAAATGATGTCAAAACACCGTTTTAAAATATATATTTTTCAAAGAATGAGATTCAAACAGAGGCATAGAAAGCACAAGCAAAAATCATGCCAAACAGATCATTCGTCTCTCTTTGTGTTCTTGTTTCAAGAAGAATTTTATTGAACCCTCGAATATGTACATGTAATAAAATCTTTTATAAAAATCATGATACATTGAATGTTGTGTGGATAAAAAAGAAGAATAAAATCCTTTGACTGGTTTTAAATTCAAAAAATGAATATATATTTTTAAATGATAATGATACTTCGGATTAAGAAAATATGAAAGCGTGTGACCGCACAATCAGGGCTTGTGTCCGCTTGTGTGGTGTTGGTGTGGGGCTTCTATTTGTTTGTTATTTTATCTGCTAAATCTATGCTAGATTAGGCTAATAGGGAAAAAATAAAAAAATAAAAAATCACATGCAATCAACAAAAATAAAATAATTCATAATATACAACAAGATATTTTGTAAACTATAAATACTTGTTATTATACTAAAATAAATCAAAATTACTGACTACTGTAATTTCTCTATTTTTTTATTTTTATTTTTATTTTTTTTTTGTAGGAAAGACGTCAATGGCTAGGAAAAATGAAACTTCCCAGAACTAGGAAATTTCCATACGTAGGCCATTAAAAAAATAAGGAATTGAAAAGAAAAATTAAATTGCATCTTTTTTATTCTTAAGCTACATGATTAATATTAAATATTTCAAAACTATATTACATTTACATACATAAATTCAGGTTACGAATCCAGTTAAAATAGAAAGAAACTAAAATTCTATGATTTTATTTTCTCGAAATCAGGTGGTAACGGGCATTTGGATTTAAATTTTCTATAACTAGAATACATCACATCAGGAAAAATCAGTTTTATTTATTTTTTATTTTATTTTTTCTCATGCTCCTCGCCGTGCATATTACCTTGAAGTTTCGACTTGCTATATCCTGAGATACTGATTCAACACGTGATTTTTATTTAACTGTAATGTTCTATATTTTGACTGAATTAATTTCGAATTTATCTTCAATTTCATGTTTGTACATAATACAATACGTTATTTTTCACCGTTGAAATGGTTTCTTCTATTCAATTGTCCATTTGTCGTATCAAAACTCATATGATTTTCTTGCCTAAACAAAATTGTGTAGCGAGAGTTGTTATGTATTAAGGAATGATATTTAGCGCAAGTTGTTATCTCTTATTTTAATATTACGAGATGTATCACTTGTGTAAAAGTAATCGGTTACCAGTACATATTGCATATCTATTGTCGCAACCGTTTTTCCTACCATATAATTATGTGATAAAATGGATGAATAAAGAGATGTACCATATTTTGAGATGTGGGTGCACCTTATTATCTTATGTTACGTAATATGCTTCAGGTAAAGGTCATTTCACCATCCATGATAAGTTTTTGATTGTGTAAAACATATTCATTTTTGTAGGATTTGATTAGTTACATAATTTGTAGCATATTTTACGATGATTGTCATTGCAATTCCGGCATGATTATATGTTAGCAATCATATGAAATATAATGTTTGTCTACAACATGTATGCCAAGTTACAGGATTAATTGGGTGCCTATATATATCTTGAAATACACTTAACTTCCATTCTACATAAAAGTAGCAAGTACATGCACAAATGAACCAATATCAAAGGATTTGACAAGTTTGAAATACAAACAGCATTCATAGTCTAAGCAAAACTTTCAAGAAAAATAATTTTTGCGATTAATTGTTAAGAGAATCAGCCCAACCAAGCAACATTGGCAAAGAATAATTGAATTGAACAAATAATGGAAGTAGATGATAGAGGAAGTTCCCTTATAATAAAGGGAAAGAAAAAATAGGTCTAAATATAATAATATCCTTTTCCATGTGTGGCCAAATGAATTAACAAACAAATGGGATCACACTATAATTAACATTGAAAAATATTTCATCTGCAAAACACACTTTATAAGCCCTAAAAGGGTTATCTTCGTTTGACTGCTTGTTTCCTGTTGAAGTCGAACCCATTGATCATGGATGCACAACGATTTGGAGTCTATCTATTGTTATTGTGAATGAAATAAGTATGACTACGGATCTAAGCGATGATGAAGTAGAATTGTGATTGTAACTTGTATATGGGTTTTATATAGTCGTAAGACCTAAAATCAGAACAATAGGTGCGTAGAAACAGAATGAGTATGAAGTATAAGGAGTGAAGAAAATCTTGAGATATGAAGAAGATGATTTTGTGGGTTTTGATTTCCTGAAAATGAGCAAAGAATATGGTGTTTTTTGAGCAATGATGGAGGAATTAATGATATAGACTGATTGGATGAGTAAAAACTGCTTTCTAATTGATTAGTTTTAAAAGTGATTTTTTTTTTCAACAATTGCTTTTTGCTATACTGCACCAATTAAAAATAGAGTATTAGTAATATTTGAATATTTTATTAAATATGGTTACGTGGTGTAATTTTCTCTAGGCTAATGATTTCGGAGCACATATTTCATGGTTAGTATTTTTATATTAATAATATAATTAAGAATGCATTTATTTCTCTATGCATTTATTGAATAAGACAATTCTAGCACTGATAGTCAACAAAAATATCAATTATTTTAGATATAAATTGACTAGAAAATATTCAAAACTCACGTGTCAAGAAAATTGTTTTGAAATCTAGGTGACCATTTAAGAATGCAACATCATTAAGATTATTTAAATAATATCTTTTTTTTTTTAATTTTGATTTGATTGGTTGACATGTAATCACGTGTACATATATTAAACCAATTTATAAAACTATTCGATTTTATAGAAATATTAATTAAATCAATTAATTTCTTATTCAACATATCCATTCATAATAATGAGTTATTTTTATATTTCTTTAATATAAATATAACTTGTAATCACCAGATTGCTGCATTCTTATTGACGAGTTGTGCTTTAAAAAGAATTTCCAAATTATCTCTCACTTGCACTCTTTTCGTTTCCACGTAGTTAATCAAATTGGACTGGAGAGAACCGTTGTTTCTACACACACACACACACACATATATATATAGCGTAAATATATTTGTAAGCATTTAAAAATTCAAAATTATGTATATTCTTTGTTAACTCCGTGGACCTATATGTCGTAATATTGCTTAGAATGCAACCTTTGGCCAAAAATCCCTTTATTGTTCATATTGTTGAAAATATAAATGTATAGATTTATAATTGAGTTAGCTTTTTTGGGAAGCTATTGAGTTGATCATTTATGTGTGCATTTATAAATATGTATATGTACATCCTTCATGTAAATGTATTGAGAATTCGGTAGCTGAATGACATATCCTCTTTAGGCAAGCCGGTCATCAAGTCATTAATAACTTCATGCCAAGCCCCTTCACCATTAGGTGATTTGTTATGATTATTATTACACTCAAGTTGGTGAAAAGCTTGATCATGGCTCAAACTATCACAAAATAATAATAATAATAATAATAATAATAATAATAATAATAATAATAATAATAATAAGCTCGATACGACGATGCAGGACATCATTTTATACCAATGATTGCTAAGGATTCAAACCCTATTACTCACTTATGTGAATGCAATTTGTTGAAGAGATAAAAAGGAGAGAAATAAAGAGAAGTTTTTTCTTTCATTCATTCAATCAAATAAACAAGAGAACAAAGAAATCACTCAAAAATGAAAATTAGAAAAGAAGAGTTAGTAAGAACTGGCACAAGACTTCTTCCCCTATTTCTCCTTTTGTGCTTCCACCCAAGCTTTTCATTCCAAATTATGAGGAAATTTTTATTGGTTGTATTGTGGATTAATGAACAGCTTCTCCATGTTATGACTGGAGGTGGGTGCAAAGATTGTGGTGTGCAGTTAAATCGATACTAGAATCGAACATGTGATACAATTTGTATTTTCGTCGAGGTTGGTTCAAACGTCAACTTTGAAAAACAAACAAAGAAAATAAAAGAGAAACCGCCAAAATGCGAAAAAAGCGCACCACACCATTCCCTTCCCTTCCATTTCTAGGAGCCTCACCCTCTTAACTTGATAAATCAAGAAGACTACATAATCTCAGTTTTCAATTATATACCATTTTATTTTATTAAGTTCAACGTTAGCTAGATTACTCAACATTTATATGTTTTGATGCAGCGTCTAGATGTTATTCATAACAAGTAGTTTTGTTGGTTGGTCAATTGGTCACATTTTGTTCATGAAATGGGGTTTTATATATATTTTTATCCCTTTCATGTATCACAGATTGGTAGGGATGTTTTAATTCATTGTCCACTATTTCCAATTTATCGAAAAACAACAATTAGGAATAGAAAATATTCTAGAAAGGTCTAATTGTTGGAATAATGTTTTCCATTTCAATTTAATACATTCGGTTAGTAACATTGGTTAAAGGGATTCGAACCATCGATAAACAAAAGCGTAAGATCGGTACTCTTTTCCCTCCCTAGATAGATCAATTGATGGATAGAGATTCATCTTATGTCGAATATACCGCTTCTGAATGTGTTTGGACAGAAATCGTAAAGATTGGAACATGTTTAATAAGCCTTATTCAACCACCTGA